CCATAGGTGATATTCAGTAAGGTACAACATGCTTTCACATGTGCACTTCCCAAGAAAAACAAATGAATCTCAAAGCTGTGCTGCAGGCTTATTAAGCTACACCTGTGTTTAGGTGTGCTTGTCCTTGCATCTCTTCAACAGAGAAAGTATATGTATGTCATTGGTCCCCGAAATCGTCCATTTGTGGGTTGAGAGCCCACAGTATGTTATTTTATAACTACGACACCATCAGTGGGGAAAGCCAATGTGGCAGGGAGAAGGGAAGAGGGAAGAGGGAGGAGAGGAGTGTGGGAGGGAAAGGGTAGGAGGAAGGGAGCGAGAAAGAAACATTCTAATGATTCAGATGGAGGGTTCTTTCACATTGCTTGTAGTCTATCTTAAGTATATTAAACTATCCCATCTGTTTCCTTTTGTTTCTCATGCTGGATTTTAAATTGACTTAATAAACTGTGTGTTTATTATTTGCATTATAATTTGGTCTGTGCAACTGTCTGTTCTGTAACCTCTGGGATTCTGGGATAACTTGCCCGAAAGGACCCTTGATAGGCCTCCATTGCATCAAAATGTTTTCCATGTGATACAGTAGATCACCATTATTTTGTTTTTTTACTATGCAACTCATCACTCTCAACTAGCACCCCAAGACAGTACCAGTAATATTCAATAGGAGCCTTCTCTGTCACATGGGAAAGCACACTTGCAATGGTTATAATGGTTTCAAAATCAGTTCACAAGTTTTTTGCTCCTTCTCCTTTCAAGATGTGGAGCTTAATTTTATTCTCTTTGTCTGGGCAAGGCTTAGAGACTCACTCCTAATGAATAATGTATGACACAGTACTGTTATGTAACTTCCAAGACTAAGTCATAATGGCACTGTGGCTTTCCTCTTGCTTCTCTCTGTCTTGGATAATTTCTTCTTGGTGTTGGTGAAACCAGCTGCAATGTTGTGAGGACATGTAAGTAGACCTTGGGTGTGACCCATTTGGTGAGAATGGTGGTTTCCAGCCAACAGCTGAGTGAGTGAGCTTGGGTTGGATCCTCCAGTTTCAGACAAGCCTTTACACCACTACAGCCCCCACCAACTTATTATGACCTCATGGCAGACCCTGAACCAGAACCACCCACTAAGCCACTCTCAAAGTTTTGACCCAGAGAAACTTTTAGATAAATATTTTGTTGTTGTAGGCAACCACATTTTGGGTTAAGTTTTTACACAGCCATAGGTAACTAATACAATGATCCACTATAATGAGTAGTGAGGAGGAGGGGTTCTTACATTTGAATACTCATGGGGAAGGAATCCTTCATTTCCTTCCAAAAATCTGGCTTTATTTGTGACACACAGAAGAAAGCAAGGAAACCATCAATTTGTAGAGAACAAAGAATCAACATCTTTTGTGGAAAGAATTACAGGAAACTGCATTTAAAATAGTTTAATTTTCATAAAGCTGTGCCACCTTCATGATATTAAAAAAAGCTTGGCATAATTTGCTTTGCCCTTTCTGTGTTTGAATGATGAATGATAGCTCCAGGGGAGTCAATGCCTTATCGGAGGCAAAAATTGCATATGGATTTAATGGCTTATCATTGCTCCTCAAATTTGTATTTAACCTAAATAATATTTAACATGTCAAAGCCCAAACCTCTCCCTCTTTCCCACAGAAAAAATGTGTTTGCTTTATTTAATATTCGTTTCAAGTCAAGCTTCAGAGACACTGAAAGATCCAATACTTGTAGAAACTAATTTGCAGTCCTTCAGCAAATTCCTTCACAACAAATCTAGTGCAGGTAACCCACCTTCCTAAGTTCACTTTATGCCACTTTGCTTTAATGAAAGACCTTTGTCAGAACCTCCCTGGGTCACGGAGAGAAAGCCAAAGAGGATTTTCTCTTTTATGACAAAAGTTGAAATTAGAAAATAAACTTGAGAACTTGTTTTGCAGCAAGCTGTTACTGAGGCAGTGTGTCCGCAGAGCAGCAAGAGCAGCCTATCGTGCCCCTTTCCTGGGAACGACTTGCCCAGGCTTTGTAGTTATCAGAGCATTTGTGCTTTTACTGTAAGTTAGTGCCATGTTAGGTTTTATGTGTTATTTGGTATGCTTTGGTAGGTTACTTTTTGGGTCCTGGAAAACGCAAGAATGTTTCCCTATAAATGAATGGTACTTGCTTGCTGCCCTTACACCTCCTTGACTTACTAAAACTTTCACAGGGACACTACATTTGGACAGTAACCAAACCTGTGACTTCAGATGTAGACAAGAATCGGGAAGCTATATAGCATTTCCATGTATTCTTTTTAAAAATTTAATTAAATTTGGGCTCCCTTGGTGGCGCAGCGGTTGAGCGCTGGGCTGCGAGGCTGCCCCGCAGCCTCTGCAGCGCCGTTTCGTTCTCCGGCTGCCAGCGAAGGTCCACCAAAAAAAAAAAAAAAAAAAATTAAATTTTATTGTTTTGCCATTGATTTCACAATTATTTAAATTGGAGGGATACATCTCTCACCTCTAATGTGTGCATCAGCCTCACCTCACTCTCCACCAAAGTTCTAAATACTTGACTTAGCTCCCCTAATGCTAACCTCTTATGCAGAACCACGCAAATTTATCAAACCCAAGAAATCAACATTGGGTTGAGGTTAGTTGGTTGCTACTGCTCCTCTTTTCAGGCTGAAGGTGGGCCTGCAAAGGCTCCGCCTGCAGTCACTTGCACTTCTGTGGATCACTTACCATAATTTTTTCCCACTCTGCACGTACGGTGGCCGAGGAGGCTCGCGTTTTGCGGAAGTGCGGCGTCTGGCGTGCCCAGCTGGGACGCTCCAGGCGCCAGTGGGGAACCGGCGCTTCTTTTCTTTTCGGAGTGAAGGTCCTGGAGGGTTTAATGGACATGGGGGAAGTGGAGGCTTTGATTGCAGTGGCAGCATCAGCAACAGCCACCTTTGAGGCCGATGTAACTACGGAGATGGCGCAGAGGCTTTAGCAAATGCCAGGGCCTAGGATGTCCAGAAGGCGTGGTTTTATTAGCGTTCCCGTCCCGTGAAGATGTTGTAGTTTGTAAATGTCCACGGAGGAAAGAGACGTGCCTTGTTTCAACGGTCTAATTATTTAGAAAACGAAGCATATGTTGGAAAAGTGGATGAAATATTTGGGGCAACTTAAGTACTTTTATTTTTCAGTTAAATTGGCAGAAAACATGAAGGCATCTTCCTAAAAAATAAAAGGTACAGAAGTTTTGTACAGACCTGTAGGAGCCTCCTAGCAGCGGTTTTTACCTTCATTGCTAGATGGGGGACTTCCAGAAACAGGAAGTAGTTAAGAAGTGCAATGGGAGGTAGTGATGGAGGCCTCAGAGGAGGAGGGAGGGGGGTTAGAGGGGAGTACTTTTAGTGTCCAGTTTAGTTTACAGTTGACAGGCATTTTAAC